CCCGCCAGGCTCGGCCCCCCGCCTGGGTCCGCCGCTCTGGGCCATGGAGCCGCTGCCGCCAGGGCCCCGCAGGGTAAGCCACCCGGGCCCTCCACTCCCGGCTCCGCGGCTGCCGCAGCCCCCCCACCCCATCCCCGCCCGCCCTGCGGGGCCGGCCACCTCTCCTCTCGCCCAGTCCTCGGCTGTCGCCCATCCCCCACGCAGCGCGGCCCTCAGCCATCTCTGGAGCCCTACTGGCGCCCCCGACTGCTGCCACCTTGCTGGGTAGCCCATCCTCGGCTCCCCAGGTCCTTGGAGTCCCCCGAATCTCAGACTTCCCTTCGTGTCGTACACCTAACCTCAGATGACCACGTTGCTCAGACCTTTCCTTCTGACCTCTTTTCAGCAGCCCCTCCCCACCAGCTTCCACCTGCTCTTTGGACACCCCCAGCTCCCTCTTTCCTGTGTCAATCCTGTCTGCTCCTCAGGTCTTCCCGTCCCAGAGATTCCACCCCTTTCCAGGTGGCCTTTTTTTTGAGGGGTAGGGTAAGGAACTGGGTGGCCAGACACGGGGCAGTGGGTTCCATCCGATAAGGAGCAGTGGCAGGAAACCTAAGCACACACACCCCCTGCTGCTGATGATCTGGTTTCCCCTTCCCCTCCCTCTTGCCCTTCCTGATTCATTTTGCCCCAGCTTCAGGGAGCCATTCCCCTTCACCACTCTTGGAGGGCAGGTGGGAGAGGACTGCCCTGGAGACATTGCCAGGCGGTGTCTAGGCCAGTATCCCAGGGAAGGGGCTCTGGAATGAGATGGGCTTTGGGAGATGTTGGCCTCCACCCTTCCCTAGGGAGCCCTCATGTAGGTCACCGGGGCCTCCTGACCTTGGCCTGGAGGAGCACTTCAGTGGCTCACATTCCACCTGCACAGGGATTGGGCCCTCACCTTCGGCTGGTTGTCTCCTCAGTTCCTGCAGGAGAAGGTGGGGCAGGCTGACCTGGCTCCCTTGCTTCCCTGTCCCCCTCCCCAAGCTGGTATTTCTGGGCTCAAACCTGGAGAAGGCTATGCAAGTTAAGTTCTCACCCCTGAGGAGGGACCTGGGTGTAGTTGGGACTGTTAGATGATGGAGACTGGAAGAGTCAATCCAAAACTCCCCCCCCCCCCCCCCCGCCAGGTCCTGGGCCTTCAGCCCTTCCAAGGAACAGGTTGACTGATTGGGTAGACATAGACAGAACCAGGAGACCCATCTTCTCTCCATCCTACTCTCCCTACTGTTTTCATTTGACTTAGGTTTCCTGGCCCAGATTGGGTTTCTCTATCTGGGCGGAATTCCCATTCCCCACCCAATATGTGAGGAAGGCCAGGGCTTAGGAGAATCCTGGGGCAGAGTTGGGGGTGGTTCTCTGAAAAGGAAGGACTGAGGCCTGGAGACTGGGAGCTGCAAGCAGCAATCTGTCTCCCTGTCTGATTAAAGCCTGTCTCCAAGTTGGTCTGTCTTTCTTTCTGCCAAACACATCATACATTCTTACAGATAAACACACAGCTGAAGATTACACAACCTGACCATCCGCGGTGTCAGCAAAGCCCCCAACACAGAAATGTTGATCCTCAAATGATACACACAGTACATGACACTCGTTCACACTCCTCCCATGCACAAACTGATTGCAGTCTGCCACACACACACACACACACACACACACACACACACATTCTCTGTCTCTTCGCCTTTCCCTGTATGTGTCTGGGGCTTCCAGGAAGCTCATGGAAGGTGAAGACAGTGGCTGAGAGGGACTGCTTCCAGCCAAGGGCAGGCAAGTGACTGACACCAGTTTTCTGAACCCAGTCATGGCTCCTGCGTCCACCATTACCAAAATGGGGAAGAGGGAGGCCAGCACATGGTTCACTGGGACCCTGAAGCCCCTTTCCTGACTAACCCCAAACAGCTTGGGAAGACAGGGAGAGGTAAGACATCTGGGCTTCATGGCTTCATGTTCCATCCTTCACATTGTCTTGTGAGAAACCCTGAAATCTGGACACATAGAGAGACTCGGCTGAGTTGCTAAGGACCCCCTAAGTCCCCAACAACTATGTCTTAATGCCCTCCACTTGGAAGATAAGGTTTTAGTTCTAATTCACTTGTTCCGAGGTCCAGCCATCCTCTGGTCCTCCTAAGCCCTGGCTGCCTTCAGGTCTTGCCCCTGTCTGGCCACTAGGGTGAAAGGAGTACTGCTCAGAGAGGTTGTTTCTAGGCCTCTGTGCCTCTGGCTATATCCCCTGATAGAAGAGGCCTCAGAGAAGCTCCTGGCCTCTCCCCTCCTCATGTGAACTCTTGGCAGGAGACTGAAAAGACATCTGCTGACCCAGGGTGGAGCAGAGAGGTTTCCTAATCCCTCCCATCGCAACAGCCCTGTCCTAAAGCCCTGTTGATGCCGAGGGGGAGAGATGGTTCTGAAGATCCCTAGCTCCCTCAGACCAGCCATCCCTGTCCCCCTTTTCCCTGTTAACCACTAGAAACATTTATTCTCTCCCAAGTTCTCCTACTCCCTCTAGAAACTGCTGTCTTAAAGAAGTCCAACGCATAAGTGTGTTAGGGAGAGCTGAGGCCCAGAGATGGGAGGTTGGGAATATCTGTCTCCTGAGACCAAAGACTGCACTTGGCAGATAGTCATACCCCAGAGTGGGGCCAAAAGGGTTCAGAGGCTTCAGCCAAAGGCTCTAGAATCTCTGGTACTTTGGGACTGCCTGTCAATGGCCTCTGACACATTGGCCTCACTGCAGGAGATAAGTCAAAGTGACAGAGTTGAACCTTCATGGTCTCATGAACCAGGGTAGGTGTTTAGGGTCAAGTTCCAGCTCTGCTGTTAACTCATGGTGGCCTCAGACAACTACATTCTGTGAAATGGGAGCATTTGGGCCAGTGGCTCCATCAGGTCCCTTTCAGTGCTGTGAAGACTGGGCTGGAGAGAACCAGAGGTCTGAGGCGCAGAGCTCTCAGGTACCTTGAGGCCTGGGGTGGGTTTAGGAACCTTGTTCATCCCAGCTGGTGAAGGGAAGTGGGGTGGTAGATAGGAGCTTGTACAGGGGTTTCTGCCTCATCCCACCTTACCTCTACAGATGGACCCTGTACAGAAGGCTGTGCTCTCCCACACATTTGGGGGACCCTTGCTCAAGACCAAGCGACCCGTCATTTCCTGTAATGTCTGTCAAATTCGCTTCAATTCCCAGGTAAGCAGCCCAGCTGCCACCCAGCAGGGGGGTAGGATGGGACAGTCTGGGGACCTTGAGGGAGACCAGAGGCCCATAGCTGCAAGTGAAGGGTATTGGTGAAGGGATTGTTGAGGGAAAACAGGGAATGGGGTACTGTAGAGGACTCAAGGGGGTTGAAGAAAAGCACTTGAAGAGAAGTGGTTGCCATGTCTTTTGTTTGTTTTCATTTTGGTTTGGCTTTCTGTGGTGCTAGGGACTGAATTTAGGGCCTCACACATGCTAGGTAAGTACTGTACTGTTGAGCTGTGTCCTCAGCCCTTTTTCTATTTTTTATTTTGAGACATGGCTTCATAAGTTGCCTCAGCCAGCCGGCCTTAACTTTACTCACTCCACTCCAGGCAGGTCTTGAACTTTCAGTCCTCCCATCTCAGCTGCACAGACAGCTGGGATTACAGGTCCTGCCACCAGGCCAGGCCAGGGCTGTGCGTTCTGGCAGGAAGTAGACCGATCTTCTAAGGCTGGCCCCTCTGTCTCTTGGAATTGGAACAGCTTTAGAGCTGCTGGGAGCACAGGGGTCAGGGTGGGCATGTGGTCCCCGACCCTTTGTCCTTAGGTGTAAGGCTGAGTCAGGTCACTGGTTCTCTGTAGAGCCTGTGTTCTCTGTCCACTTCCCTCTACCTCCCATGCTCTAACCTTTCTCTACCCTGTTTCTAACTCCTTCCTCCAAATCATGTAGAAAGTCTGGTTCCTACACCCTCCTGGGACTTTCCCATTGGGGAGAAGTCACCCAGATTTCCCCCTTCTGAAGCCCCATTGGGACTTCTATTTAGGTCCAGACAGTACTTTGTGGGGTGCAGGCTCTGAGAGCTTTTGGAGAAAAACAGCAGAGCCTTATTCTGCTGACTAGGGGAAAATAAAAATATGTTCTTTTTCTCTACACAGTGCTGGTACACACACACAAACACACACACACACACACAAACACACACACACACACACACATACACACACCTCATACTGCTAGTTCTTGTACATCACTGATTTACCCCTGACCTGTCAATTTTGTTTTCCTGCCTCTCCACACCTATTATTTCCATCCCTGTTTAGGTGACCTTGTGCTTCCATGATTATATATTCTTAGCAAGGCTACAAATGGGAGAGGGTAGGGGCAGGCAGTGGGTAGGTAGGACCCAGCATTGGGCCTCATTGCATGGACCCCACAGGCATCCTCTCTTCTAACCCTGACTCTGCTCACTGGTGGAAGAAACAAGAATGAGGGGATGCAGAGCCAATAGCAGACAGCCCTCCCCTCTTTTTGCCTTCCCTTTCCCTCCCCCATCAAGTGGCTCTGTTTTGACAGCTGTCTCTGCTGCTGTCTCCTGTCTCCAGAGCTGGGCTTGAGGCCAGGGTCCTCCAGGGTGTCCACAGAGGCTCCAAGGAAAATGAGACTTAGGAGGAGTAGTCAGGACAGAGCTGGTAAAACAGCAGGGCAGGATCCCGGGCGGAGGAGGGACTCAGGCATCTAGGCCTGGGGTCTAGGATGCCAACTGGCTGCACGTTCCGCCTTCCCCAGTTTAGCATTCCCTCGCAGGCTTAAGGGCCCTTCCCTCCACCAGGACTAGGTGGGGGGGGGGGGCTGAGTCATCAGCCAGGCCCTGGGTGTGGTGGTAGAGTGCAGTCTGAGCTAGGTTGGGGGTCCACATTCCCAGGGACTCAAACTCAGATGAAAAGTTCATCTGAACCCCAGGAATAACCAGACTCATCAGCATGGGGCTCTGCACTGTAATGGTGCAGGCAGGGGGTGGGGGGATGCAGGCAGAGTATACTGCAGCCTGCTGCAGTCACCCTGGGACCTGAAGGAGCTCTGTAGGGAGGCCTGGCAGATGAAAGGTGATCTCAGACTCCGTGTTCTTCCTCCATCCCTAAAGAGCCAGGCTGAGGCGCACTACAAGGGTAATCGCCACGCCCGACGAGTCAAAGGCATCGAGGCCGCCAAGACCCGAGGCAGGGAGCCTGGTGTCCGGGAATCAGGAGACCCAGCTCCACCAGGCAGCAACCCCCCAAGTGGGGATGGTGTAGCCCCTCGTCCAGGTGTGTCTGAACCCCCCTCAACTGATCTCTGTCTTTCTGTTCTCTCCCCATTTCCCAGAACTCTCCTCTGCTTCTCTCCTCCTCCCTCAGTCCCCACCCCCACTGCCACCCAAGGTGAGTCCTGGAGCCAGGCACAGTGATATAAAAATTCCATCCTGTCACCCCACCCACCCCTGCCTCAGCTCTTCTCAACAGAGTCCCCACTGTCTGTCTTCTCCACTGCCCAGTGACTCAGAGAGGGGCTAGGGTGAGGCTACCTGGCAAGCCTCCCCAGAAACAGGGAAGCCTCCATCTGACCCAGGGGAGGCCCTTTTGTGCTGGCCAGAGGGAATCAGGACACTGGAGGCCTACTGGGCCCTCCAGGGAAAGCGGAGGGCATGCTGATCTAGGGTGGACCCATGGACCTCTTAGGGCCAGACTTAGGAGAGAACAACTTGAAGATCTATGAGGTCTTGTCCAACTTTGTGGGAAGCAACTCTGAAATTCTTTTTCCCTCGTGGCTAGTGGCCATCCTTTACCATCCGTCCAAGAGACTGAGGTGAGGGAATATGGGGACAAAAAGATATGAGCCACCTCCACCTTGGGATTGCTACATCAGTTGTCTGTCATGGCCAACTCAGAGAAACCTAACATTCCCGTGTTCCTATTTCTTCTTATCCTGTCCTATCCTTCTTGCCCTACTCTAAAAAGAATGAGAACAAACCTCTACATCCACAACTTGGGACCCACACACACCCTTTGGCATGTACAGATCTAGAGGCCAGGCCTGAGTTTGAATTGTGCTCTGGCTGCTTCTGAGTCTGACCCTCTTGGATTAGTTTATTGACTTCTCTAAGAAACAGGGATGGGGTTGGTGACAGTTAACTTTTTTTTTCAGTCTTTTTGAGACAGAGTATCCTTGTAGCCCCAACTGGCCTGAACGCACTATATAGACCAGGCTGGCCTTGAATTCACAGAGTTCCACCTGCTTCTGCCTCCTGAGTGCTGACATTAAAGGTGTAGCTATCATTTCTTGACTAGCACTATTGTAGGCCCTTAACATATATCCTGTCATTTAGCGCCTGCACACTTTCTGAGGATACAGGGTGAAGGCCATGAGGTCCTGTCCAGTCTGGGATAGAGATGTGCTGTCTGGGTTGGGATAAAGGTGAAGGATGTCAGGAATGAGTAAGAAACAGAGGAAGGATTATGGGATGGGCAAGCACACACCTGCAGGGGTCAGGAATTCCTCTTCCACTTATTCCTACCCCCACCACAGTCCTCCCCATGATCTGGAAACTGGATCGAAATTGGATCAGCTGCTGGAGCAAGAATGGGAGCGTTACAGTTTCCCCTGTAGAGAGGCCAGAACCAAGTGCAGAGGCCTGCGGCCTGTGCATCTTTAATCGAGCCATGAATTATAGAGCAGCCTGCATCCCTGCTTCTTCCCTCTCTGGTTCTTCTGTTTCTGTTTCCCTCTGCCATGCCTACATCTGTCTCTCCTGACCTGCCCTCCTCCTGGCTCTGCCTCTTCCCAGTGCTCTTTCTCTGGGGATCCAGCAAAACTCTGGGAAGGGGCTATCCTGGCAGGAAGCCCAGGTTGGTGTGGTGGGAGAATCTTTGTTCCCTGTCTCTCCCCCTGGCTGGGCAGCCTTCCAACTTTACCAGACCCCCTTGGCTATCCTCAGCTTTTGGGGAGTGAGCCAGGCCTTGCAGTTTCACACCCAGCCTGTGGCAGCTGAACCACATTTGGCTGTGGCCCAGGGCATGAGAACATGCATGTTGTCACAGGGTGGGGACTCCTGGACCTTTGCCCTCCAGGAAATGGGGGTGGGTCTCCACATGAAGAACCACCTGGGATGACCCCCATGTTTCTCCCCCAACAGTTTCCATGGAGAATGGACTGGGTCCAGCCCCAGAATCCCCAGAGAAACAGCCTGGCTCCCCATCCCCTCCCAGTGTTCCAGAGTCTGGCGGGGGTGTAACCAAGGGTGAAGGGGGGACTCCAGCTGCAGCTTCCCTGCCTGGGGGCAGCAAAGAAGAGGAGGAGAAGGCCAAGAGGCTGCTCTACTGTGCACTGTGCAAGGTGGCTGTGAACTCCCTGTCCCAGCTGGAGGCACATAACAAAGGTATGGAACCCGGGAATCATCCCCACCCCTTGCTTCTTCCTAATCCCCCTGTTTTCTAGCACAGTTGGATCCTCTAAGACCTGCCAGCTCATCCCCTTTCCCAACATTAACCTGCATGACTCTCCCGACTCACTTGTGTTTGGGAGGGTCCCAAGGGCCTCCAAACAAATTCCACCCAGTTCCTTCCTATGCTACAACTGGGAAGGTGGGCATTTGAGGCCTGGCGGGCCTGGAGAATTTTTCATCTGCCCTCACTTCCTAACTCTCTGTGTGCTCCAGGTACTAAGCACAAGACAATTCTAGAGGCCCGAAGTGGGCTGGGGCCCATCAAAGCTTACCCTCGACTGGGGCCTCCCACCCCGGGAGAGCCAGAGGCTCCTGCCCAGGATCGAACCTTCCACTGTGAGATCTGCAACGTCAAGGTCAACTCGGAGGTCCAGCTGAAACAAGTGAGTCCAAGCCCCATCTCAGGGGCTTCTGGGGAATTCGACCCCCTGAGGAGAAAGGAAAACCATGAGCTTGGATGAGGGCCCTTCCTCAGGCTTTCTGGCCGCCCCCTAGAAGGAGGTGGCTGTGGCTCTTTGCTGAGGGCTCACAGCCCACTACCCACTTGCCCCGCAGCACATTTCCAGCCGGCGGCACCGAGATGGCGTGGCCGGGAAGCCGAATCCACTACTGAGCCGTCACAAGAAGCCTAGAGGCGCCGCGGAGCTGCCGGTGAGGCTGGGTGCTGGGGAAAAGGATCTTGGAAGGACCCGGGTTGTAAGGGACCGAGTGCCACCGGGAGGACGTGGGGTTTGAGGACCCCGGCCGACCTTTGTCCCCACCTCTCTCCCTGCTGCAGGGCACACTGACTTTCTCCAAGGAGCTGCCCAAGTCACTGGCCGGCGGCCTGCTCCCCAGCCCCCTGGCGGTGGCTGCGGTGATGGCGGCAGCAGCCGGCTCCCCGCTGTCCCTGCGCCCAGCTCCGGCAGCACCTCTTCTGCAGGGACCGCCGATCACCCACCCTCTGCTCCACCCGGCCCCTGGCCCCATCCGAACTGCGCACGGACCCATCCTCTTCTCCCCCTACTGACCTCAACCCTGAACCCCTCCCGTTGAGCCCCCCACCTCCAGCCGGGACCCAGGCCTCCGGGCTCCCAGCCCGCCCCTCCTCCCGGCGCTCCCTGAATGGTCTCTCCTTCCCCCCCACCCCGAGGTACGGGGTTCCAGGAAAGGGGAGGGGTAGCGGGGGAGGGGGGCTTCAGAAGGGGGGGAACACCCCAGATCTCAGGGAACCCCGCCCCCTGCCCTTCCCTCGCCCCTAGAAAAGGGGGGGCGTCTCACCCCCGAGCCCCCTCGGAGACACCCCCCCTCCCAAAAGCCATGTCCATCCAGCCCTTCCCCTCCAAACCTAGCACAAACGGGGTTCACAAGCCATGGTCGGGGCCCGGGGGTGGGGGAGAAAATGGATTTCTTGGCAATAAGCGACTCTGGGACTCCGGCCCCCTACCCCAAACTGAAGCGCTTCCGTGAACACCCCCGTCCTCCGCAGGGGGAGGGGAGCAGGCGGGATCCCGGGTCCCTCTTACGCACTTTGGTTTTACCGCCTGCAACCTCACTGTGCCCGCCCCGCACCACGCCCCAGCCCCAGGTCCAGCCGGGCCCAACGCCGGGGGCAGGACCTGGGGGCATCTCAGCACTTGGGTGGGACCAAGGAGATGCCCCCATAGACCCTTCCCTCGCCTTCCTCCCCAGTCCGGGTTCCATTCTTTTCACCAGCACCCATCACCCAAGGGGTACCAAGGGGGGCAAGGGGTGTCCAGTCCAAGCCCACCCCCGCCTCGCCTTCCGCAAAACTGTGAGCAAAAAGCAATAGCCTCGCCCCCGCCCCTCCCCTTTCCGCAGGATTCGCCGTATGTAGCCTCCCCCCTTCTCAGCTCCTAGACCTCATGGCTGTCCCCTCCCGTGACACCTCCACTGCACAACTCGGGCGGGGGCGTGACCCCCAAACCCACCCTTCCGTGGTTTCCGTGTGGTCAGCCCTTCCAGCCGCCGACCTGGGACGGGGACAGGCCCCCACTGGCCCTCCCTTCCCCATCGACTCTATCTGCTTGACGATGTAGCAACCCAGTCTCCCCGACCCCTCGCCGTTCCCTTTTCCCTCTCCTTGACAATAAAGTCTGGATTCGTTCTGCCCTCCGCGCCCCAGACTCAGGCTCTGTCTTTGCCGGCAGTTTGGAGCGCAGTTCACTCGAGAAATGTGTCAGTATGGTGAGGGAGCCTGGCATACAAGTAGGGGGACGGGGAAAAGGGGGTGGGGGAAGCTGTGCATTCCTGCCTAGTTTGCATAAACTTGGCGGGAGGGAATCATTTGAGTCCAGGTCTGGCACTGCAGCATTGGCTGTTGGGAATTAGTCACAACTCCACTAGGCGGCGCCAATGGCACAGAAAAGGCGCCTCCCCCAGGTTCGGCAGTTTCTTTGATGTATTTCACAGTTTAAGTCAGGTCTACTGTCACTGCTCTAGCTAGCAGAACATTTTATTCTTCATAACCACATAAGAGTATGTGAACAGATTTCAGATACAGTCCCTGGCCAAATTCGATTTTTCAAAAGCAACTTTGCCTAAAAATAAGACTATAAAATATATATGTCTGGGGCTGGAGAGAGGGCTCAGTGGTCAAGAAAGCTTGCTGGTTCTGAAGAAGACCAGAGTTCGGCTTCCAACAGTCACATCGGATAGTTCACAATTGCCTATAACTCCAGTTCCAGAGGACCCAATACCCTCTTCTGGTCTTGCATGCATGTGCACACATACATAAATAAAAATAAATCTTGCTGTACAAAAAAAAAAAAAAAAAAAAAAAGAAGTCAGGTCTAAACCCAGACAAAGGAAAAGAATCCAGGTTTTTGTACCACTGGCGGGAACCCATGCCAACAAGAGGAAGTGACTTTGGACCAGTCCTTGCCCTCTCTAAGCTAGTTAACTCAGCTGCAAAAACCAGGAGGCTTGAGTCTTGGTTTTTTTTTTTTAACTTTCATTTTGTATTGTATACATTTTGCCTGCACGTATGTAGGTGCACCATGTGCGTGCAATGCCGATGTAGGCCAGAAGAGGGCGTCAGATCCCCTGGAACCGCAGTGGGTGCTGGGAAGCCAATCCTGGTCCTCTGCAAGAGCAGCCAATGCTCTTAACTTATGAGCCATCGGTCCAGCCCCTGGGCTTGAGTCTTTTAAAGGTTCATTGAGACCTCCTGTATCCAGGACCAAAGCATGGAGGCACATTCAGCCTACAATACCCCCTCATCAGGCCCCATTGTGGCCTGTGATCTGAAGCAGGGGAGCACTTGGTGCCCTTGAAGGAGGAAGGTCTCCCCTTTAGCCCCAGAATCCAGCCCAGCCACATACTCCTAAGAACAGTCAGTGACACCCCCAGCTTCCTCGCGCCATCTAGCTCTACTGGAGGGTGGGCAAAAACCCATGCTCAAACCCAGAGTGCACCAGGGCCCCTGGCTGGCCTTTTCTCTCACTTCCCCTTTCTTCACTTCCCAGTCCTGCAAAAGACAGGATGAGAGAAGTTAGGATGGTGATTGAAAGAGAAAGGAGAGGGGAATAGGGTCCCTTAATTTGTAAACTGAAGAGGGGGTGGGGCTTACCGTGGGTTCAGATCTGGAACCCAGCAAAAAGGATTTTTGGCTTTGTAGCTCAAAAAAGGCAGAGACTAGAGATCCAGAAGGATGGGGACAAGAATAGCTCTACAGAAGAATGGGTGGAGGGCTGGTGAGATGGTTCAGGGTAAGGACACTTGCCACCAAACCTAAGGACCTGAGTTTTATTCCAGGGACCTATGTGGTGGGTACTGTGGCATACACACACACACACACACACACACACACACACACACACAGAGAGAGAGAGAGAGAGAGAGAGAGAGAGAGAGAGACAGAGAGAGAGAGAGAGAGCCACATTCACACAAAAAATAAATGTAAACAAAATAGATGGAGAATAATGGCTGGGTCCCATGTGAGGAGGGTGGCAGGGAGGACTAGAAGAAACGGGTAGGAGAGCTGGGAAACTGATATGCCCAAAGATAATCTCAAACTTGATGTTTCAAAATAGGAATATATCATTCACTCCTCTCCCTAAGCTTGTTCCTCCTCCCACACTCCCTTTCTTTTGGATGTTGGGAACTGAATGCAGGGTCTCATGCATGCTAAGCATGTATTCTTCCACTAAGTCACATCCCAGTCCTCTCTGTCTCCTTGATCAGGAGTCCCACCAACCACCTGCAAAACAGGGAGTCATTTTTGGTTGGTTGGTTGGTTTTTGAGACAGTCTCACTCTATACCCCAGGCTGGCCTCAAACTAGCAGGAATCCCCCTGCCTCTGATTCTTGAAAACTGGGATTACAGATAGGAGCCAACAGGCCTGACTACCAATTAGTTCAGACTCTGGTGCTAGGCACTCAGCACAAATTTATGGAGTGGGTGGACCATAGAATGAACCTAAGCCCTGTGATAAATGAAGCTAGGATCCCACAGGCCTCCTTTCATTTTGTTTGGCAGGGGACTTTGAGACAGGGTCTCACCCACCGTGTTGCCCAGATTGACTTTGAACCTCCTGTGAAGTCCTCACTGGCCTCAAATCCATGATTTTTCTACCTCGGGCTCTGGAGTGCTGGTATTGCAGGTATGCACCACCATGCCTGCTATTTTCCATCTTTTCAGCACTGGATATCGAACCCAGAGCCTCGTACCTTGTATTCACACACTAAGCGAGACCTGCACCACTGAACAATAGCCCCAACCCTTTTTAAAAATAATATATTTTATTATTTTATTTTATGGGTATGAGTGTATTGCCTGCATGTATGTAGGTGTACCCATGTCATGCAATGCCCACAGAAATCAGAAGAGGGCATTTCCTGGACCTGGAGTTATGGAGGGTTGTTAGCCACCATGTGGGTATTGGGGATGGAACCAGGGTCCTCTGCAAAAGCATCCATTGCTCTTAACTGCTGAGCCTTCTCTCCAGCCCCCACCTTTTTTTAACTTGAAAAAAAAAATCATTAGCCAGGCATGATAATTCAGGCTTTTAATCCCAGCAATCTGGAGGTAGAAGCAGAGGCAGACAGATATCTCTAAGTTCGAAGTGAGCCTGGTCTACATATAAAATTCTAGACCAGTCAGGGCTACGAAGTAAGATTCTCTCTCTCTAAAAAAAATATAGATAGATATAGATAGATAGATATATACATAGATATATAGATATAGATTATAGACATAGATTTTCTTTTCTTTTCTTTTTTTTGAGACAGGGTCTCCCTGTAGCCCCAGTTGTCCTGAACTCACTATGTAGACTAGGATGGCCTTGAACTCACAGAGATCCACCTGCCTCTGCCTCCTGAGTGCTGTGATTAAAGGCATGCACCATCATGCTGGGTTAGATTTTCTTTTTAAGCTGGCATAGTAGCACACACCTTTAGTCTCACCACTCCAGAGGCAGTGAAATTGAGGACAGTCTGGTCTACATATCAAGTTCCAGGCCACTTGGGGCTACAGGGAGACCGTGTCTCAAAAAATTTTTTTCTTATTTATTTTAAGCCAGAGTCCCATGTAACCCAGGCTGGCCTCATAATCAGTATGTATCTAAGGATGACCTTGAACTCCTGATCCTTCTACATCCATCTCCTTAGTGCTGCGATTATAGGTGTATCCCACCATACCTGGTTTACATGATTCTGGGAATCAAACTCAGGGCCTTGTACATGCTAGGCAGGCACTCTACCACTGAGTTACATTCTCAGTCCTCATTCACTTTTTATCTGGAGACAAAATCTCACTCACTAAAATTACTCAGGCTGGCTTTGAACTCACTGTATAAATCAGAACTTGCGATTTTCCTGCCTCAGCCTCTTTCTTCAGTAAGTGGGAGTACAAGCCTGCACCACCAGGCCTGGTTCCCACCTTTTTATAAAGTTTTTAAATTACGTTAATTTATTTGTGTGTGTATAAATGTTCATGTCCTGGGCTGGAGAAATGGCTCAGTGGTTAAGAACACTGGTTGTTCTTGCGGAAGACCCAGGTTCGAATCCCAGCACCCACATGGCAGCTAACAACTGTCCATAACTCCGGTCCCAGGGGATCTGACAACCTCTTCGGACCTCCTCAGGCATTGCACAACATGGGTACACTTACCTACATACAGGCAATACACGCATACATATAAAATAAAAAAATAATAATAATAGTAAATGTTCATGTCCCAAGGAGCTTGTATGGAGGTCAGAGGACAACCCGCAGGAGTCAGTTCTCTCTTTCCATCATGCGGGTCCCTGGATTGAACTCTGGCTGTCAGGCAGAGCAAGAACCTTTACCTTTAGCCATCTTACCAGCCCCACACCTATCTTTTTCATCCAACTCCACTTCTCAGATGTGCTAGGGTGTTTTATGGGACCTCTGACTTGAACCATCTCCAGACCCTAAAGAGAAGAAAGGAAATGGTCCAGCAAAACAAACATAAGCATTCTGGGCTGCCTAGCATTGCTTCTAGAATCTGGTCTTGGTTTGGGGCCTCTTAAGAAGTGGCCCAGTTGGGTATGGTGGCTCGTGTCTACCTTCCTCAGGAGGTTGAGGCAGGGGGATTTCTGTGGGTTCCAGGCCAGACAAGGATATGAAGTCAGAGTCAGACCATGTCTCAAAAAAAAAAAAAGTTATCATAGGTGATATGCTGAATAGCTTTAGTGTCAACTTGACACACCTGGGTTGAGGGAGCCTCAACTGGGGAATTGCCTCTATTGGACTGGCCTATGGCCATGTCTGAGGGGCATCTTCTTGATGAGTGATGTGGGAGGGCCCAGCCCACTGTGGGTGGTGCCACCCCTGAGCAGGTGGGCCTGTGTTGCATAAGAAAGCAGGCTGAGAAGGGGCCAAGGGAGCAAGTCAGTAAGCAGCATTCCTCCATGGCCTGTGCTCCAGCTCCTGCTTCCAGGTTCCTGCTCTGAGTTCCTACCTTGAACTGCGAACTGGGACATATAAGCTAAATAAACCCTTTCCTCCCCAAGTTGGTAGTGGTCAGAGTGTTTTGTCAGCAATGAAGAAACAAACTAAAACAGATGACATACCACATGACACTGTCTCCCTGCCTGACAGTGCTCAGCAGTTATCTCTTCGGCGTCTTACCTGACAGCAGAAGGAAACAGGGCTTGCGGTTTGAGGAAGGAGAAGGAAAAGAGTGAGACAACTCTGGAGTAAGTAACAGAGGAATTTCAACAGAGAAGCCCAGCCAGACTTCAGTAGCCAAGGCAAAATTAGTAGGGCTGTCTGGAGGTAGGGAAGGAAGTGGCTGGGGTTGAGTAACTAGGGAGTTTCTTATTCTTTTGGTCTAGCATGGTAGGAGGTATTATAAGTCTGCCTGGAAGCCTGGCTGAGCACCAGAAAGGCCTGCTCTTTGGGTGAGTTGGACTTCATTCACTGAAGACAAGGGTTGAACCTGGGACCCTCAGGTGAGCATGCTGTGTACTCTTACTTTCTTGGTTCCCTCACCTCCCAGATGGTAACAATCAGAAAACCTGAGGCTGGGAGCCAGCTTAGTGACCTATGCCTATAATCTCTGTAAGCAGGAGACTGAGGCAGGAGCATCACTGTGAATTTGAACTGTGAGCTAGCCTGAGCTGCATGACGAGATACTACCTAAGAATGAAAGAAAGAAGAATAAAAATTGAGGCCTTATATGTGTGGTGGAGAGAGGAAAGGGGACAAGACTTCCGGCTCGTCTTCAGGAACAGTAAAGCAATAGAAAGTGGTCGGGTGTGGTGGCGTAGGCGTCTTTGATCCCACTACTCAGGAGGCAGAGGCAGGCAAATCTCTGTCAATCCAAGGCCAGCCTGGTCTCATCTCTGTGAGTTCCAGGCCAGCTGGGGCTACAGAGAGACCCTGTCTCAAAACATCAAAAGAACAGCTCTCAAAGTTCTTGAACTCAAATCCTGAGCCCAGCACTCTCGAGTCCATCTTGGTAGACAAAAGAAAAATCAGGAGGAACCCGATAAAGGGATGCTTTGGGAGGCTCTTGTCAAGAAATTCCAGTGGACTCTCATATGAATATTTGAAATTTGCTCTGTTCTGACCTTTTTCTGGTTCCCTGTCTAGAACTTGTAATGCTAAGTACTCTTGCCTTTACTTCTCCTTCACATCTAGTCACCAGTCAAGGACTTTCTTTTCCCTGTACGGATTAGTTATGCAACTCGGGAGTCTTTTAGATAGACCCATTGAAGGAGTACCCCAGTTGCCTCACCCTGCATCCCTGTTCAGCATGGAAGGAGCCAGAGCCCTCTGTTTCCCAATTCCCCATCAGTAATTTGAGTAATCTCTTCAGAGGATGCTGTGATAAGAATAGGAGGTAGGAATTGGCTAGGCAGTTAGAGTAAAAAGACCCCAAAGAAAAGTAGCCAGTTTCTTGGCTAAAGTCAAAATGTCCTTGGGCCTCTTAGCAACATACTCTGTTCCAAAGGCCAAAAATGTCAAAAATATTTGGGAACTCTTATCTAATCCCTAAAAGATTTCAGGGTTGCCTCTTCAGAGGGGGGGAATGTTAGAGTAGCAAAAGGCCTCATTAAAAAAAAAAGTACACAGTTGTCAGGAAAAAGTGATCAGGAGACATGGGAGGAGTTGGAGGGAAGGGAGTGGGCATGGATTTGATCAAAACACCTTATATGTATGTATGAAATTCTCAATAATTTTTTAAATAAAAAAAAAGATGAAAGAAAGAAGGAAAGAAAGAAAGAAAAGAAAAGAAAGAAAGAAAGAAAGAAAGAAAGAAAGAAAGAAAGAAAGAAAGAAAGAAATTAGAATGTGTAGAGGTGGCCATGTTTATGGGGAGTATCCCATGACTTAGCACGTTTCCACAAGAAACTATTTTTTGAGACAGGATCTCCCTGTAGCCCCAGCTGGCCTGGAACTCCCTATGTACACCAGGCTGGCCTTAATTTCACAAAGATCAGTCCGCCTGTGCTTCCCAAGAGCTGGGATTAAAGGCATACACCACTAGGTTTGGCTCGGGAGACATTTTGATAAGAATCTAGAAAAAGGGGCTGGGCCGGGCATGGAGGCCCTTGCCTTTAATCTCAGCACTTGGGAAGCAGAGGCAGGTGAATCTTTGTGAGTTTGAGGCCAGTCTGGTCAACATAGAGAGTCCCAGGTCAACTGGGGCTACAAGGAGACCCTGTAGCCAGGTGTGGTGGCGCATGCCTGTAGTCCCCCCACTTGGGAGGCAGAGGCAGGTGGATCTCTGTGAGTTCAAGGCCAGCCTGGTCTACATAGTGAGTTCCAGGACAGCTGGGGTTACAGGGAGACCTTGCTTCAAAAAGACAAGAAAAAAAAAAAAGAATGAATGAAAGAAAAAGGGGCTGGAGTGGTTAAGCAGGTAAGTGGGCTCAGTGGTTAAGAGCACTGGCTTGCTCTTGTAGAAGACCTGGGTTTGGTTCCCAGAACCGACACTGTAGATCACAATCTTCTGTAATTCCAGTTCCAGAAGCTCCTATACACCCTTCTTGCCTCCTCAGCATCAGACATGCACATGGTACACAAACATACATGCAGGCAAAGTATTCATACGTAAAATAAAAACAAAACAATAAATCTTTTAAGAAAATAATTTAGGGCTAGGAGTGGTAGCGCACACATTTAATCCCAGCATTTCCCACTTGGGAGGCAGAGGTAGGTGGATCTTTGTGAGATCGAATCCAACCTGGACTACATATCTAGTTCCAGGTCAGCTGGGGCTACTGGTAGATCCTGTCTCAAAACAGTAATAATTATTAATAATAATAATTTAGAAAAAATATCTTTGAGAGTGGGAAAGGAAAGAGACACCCTAAGGAGGGCCAGAGGCCTTGAGCTGAAATGTTCTGAGAATGGTTTTCAAGAATGGTGAATTGATGTGGGGTGTGGTGGCGCACGCCTTTAATCCCAGCAGAGGCAAGGGGATCTCTGTGAGTTCAAGGCCAGCCTGGTCTACATAGTGAGTTCCAGGACAGCTGGGGCTACAGGGAGACCCTGTCTCAAAAAGACTAAAAAAAAAAGAATGGTGAATTAAGGCAAGTTCCAGGATCAGAGCAGGTGTGAGGGGGGAGAGCTGTTCAAAGGATGCAAGTTGAGGGCAGGATTCTCACTCGTGTCCCTCTCCTACTCCTGTCTCTTCAGCCTCCATCATGTGGAACGTCTCAGATGTCAACTTCTCCTGCTACCACGAGTCTGTGCTGGGCTACCGTTACTTTGCAGTTAGCTGGGGGGTGGTGGTAGCTGTGACAGGAACCGTGGGCAACGTGCTCACCCTGCTGGCCTTGGCCATCCAGCCCAAGCTCCGAACCCGCTTCAACCTGCTCATTGCCAACCTCACCCTGGCAGATCTGCTCTACTGCACGCTCCTGCAGCCCTTCTCCGTGGACACATACCTCCACCTCCACTGGCGCACCGGCGCCACCTTTTGCAGAATATTCGGGCTCCTCCTCTTTGCTTCCAACTCGGTCTCCATTCTCACCCTCTGCCTCATCGCTCTGGGACGCTACCTCCTCATTGCCCACCCCACGCTCTTTCCCCAGGTTTTCAGTGCCAAGGGGATCGTGTTGGTGCTGGTGGGGACCTGGGTGGTGGGGATAACCAGCTTTGTCCCCCTCTGGCGTGTTTTTGTTTTGGTGCCCGTGGTCTGCACCTGCAGCTTTGACCGCGTGCGAGGTCGGCCTTACACCACCGTTCTCATGGGCATCTACTTTGTGCTTGGGCTCAGTAGCGTGGGCATCTTCTATTGCCTCATCCACCGCCAAGTGAAGCGAGCAGCTCGAGCGCTGGACCAGTACCGGCTGAGGCAGGCCAGCATCTGCAACCACCACGTTACTGAGATGGATGAGGCCATGCCTGGACACTTCAGGGAGCTAGACAGCGGGGTCGCATCGAGAGGGCCCAGCGAAGGGATCTCATCTGAGCCAGTCAGTGCTGCGACCACGCAGACCTTGGAAGGGAACTCATCAGAAATAGGGGGCCAGGGCAACAGAAAGGCAGCTCAGCAGACGGCAGAAAAAGGACCTCCAGAAGAGCGTCCCAAGGCCCAGGCAGGAGCGCGCAGAGCCGCGGACTCCCCTTCAGAGTTCGGGAAGGTGACTCGCATGTGTTTTGCTGTGTTCCTCTGCTTTGCGCTCAGCTACATCCCTTTCCTGCTACTCAACATTCTGGACGCCAGGGGCCGCGCTCCGCGGGTAATCCACATGGTGGCAGCCAACCTCACCTGGCTCAATGGCTGCATCAACCCAGTGCTCTACGCAGCCATGAACCGCCAGTTCCGCCACGCATACCGCTCCATCCTGAAACGCGCGCCCCAGAGTTTCCGACGACTGCGTTAGAACTGGGAGCCCAGACCAGCACGGACTCTTCTGGAATCTGGGTGGCTCCTGGAGGGAGAACAGGTGACCATCAATCCGTGGACATTTTCACAGACAACCTCTGCTTTCCCCACACGGCTTCCCCATTCAGGAATTCATAACTCAGCCCTGGGCCGCCCGTGGAATGTCTGTTCATTATTAATAAATGCATTATAAGCGTCCTCCCTTCCCTCACTTCTAGTGTGTATATGGGTGTGGCTCAGACGTGGACTTCAAGGTGTCTTTCTTAATCTCTCTCCGCCTTAGTTCTTGGGACAGGGTCAGGGATTTGACTAGACTGGCTGACCAGCAAACTCTAGGGACCTTCCTGACTCTTCCTCCGCAATGCTGGGATGACAGGCAGGTACTATCACACCCAACTTACAGGCAGGTACTATCACACCCAACTTACATGTGCTGGGGATCCAAACACAGGTCTTCATGTTTGTATAACAAGCACTTTACTGAGTGATCTCCACAGCCACGTTGCATGCTTTTAAAGCTCTAGTGTGGTCTGTAGGGAAGAAGGATTCAAACCCCAGTCAGGGCTGGAACCTAGTAGCTGAGGCTTTGTGGTGACTTGAGTCAGAGCAGGTGGCTAGGGACAGACAGAACTCCAGTCATGGGCATGTGAGGTGGTTTGAAGGTTAGTCTTCTCTCTTCTATTTCTTTTTCCTTTGAGACAGTCTTGCTAAGTAGCCCAAACTGGAGCTCCTCCTGAGTTGTCCTCAGCCTGATTACAGGTTTGTGCCACTTTCCTTAATTCCCAGAAACAGCCTTCGCTGCTGACAACAGCTGCCAGAATCCTCCATCCCTGCCAGGAGGCTTACCGATCTCTAGAGGTTTGGAGCTCTCGCTTTGATACTCCTGCAGTGAATCCTGCTGCCTATGCCCTGTATAAAAGGGACAGTCATGAAAGAGACTGTGTTCTAGGTAAATGGAATAAAACTTATCTGGGACAGATACAGGGTGGCAGCTGCTGGGGAAGGTTTTATCTGCCTCAGGGTCCCCCTCTTCCCCTCGACCCCCCGGCAGAGATACTAGTTAGAAGGCGGTGGGGAGAAGGTCAGGAGGAAGGGACAGTGCACACTCTGCCTTCCCAAGCTCCGGCATCCTCTCTAGTCGGCAGGGTCAAGCAATAGAGTGCAAGCACCGCCGCCACCAGGTGGCGCTAGTTCCCTGTGTTTCCCTTCTAGCTTCGACGTTGAGGATGGTTAAGTGCCAGCCCGTGACCAGGGGTGGAGGTACAGGATCTGCACCTCCTGTCCCCCAAAGCTTAACCCAAAAAGCGAGTGAGATCTTTTTCTTATTTTTGAGAAAGGGTCTCTCATAATTCTCCAGCCTCAGTCTCCAGAGAGCTGAGGTTACAGCTGAGATTACAGGTGAACCACCATCCTTGCTAAGAGTAATTTTTCTCTTTTTTCTTTTGAAACAGGGTGTCACTGTTTAGCCAAGGCTGGTCTTGAACATCTGATCCTCCTGCCTCAGTTTCTTGTATGGGATTTCAGATACAAGTAATGGTGCCCAGTCAGTGAAATCTCTGCTGTTATCTAAGGTGGGGCAGAATGGGGTACCAGGGATAAAATGTGAGTCAGTGGACACTAACACGATGATCGTGCTGCATGTGCCCCCCTTCAGAACTAGAAATACTTGGTTTCAGATAACAAAATCTGGAAGGCTTCAAATAAGGATCAGAAGACCCTTAGCCAGGGCTAGGAATGTTGGCCTGTTAATCTGGAGCTTGTGTTTTCAGGTTCTCTTGCAGCAGAACCCGTAAAACAAGGCAAGCTGAAGCCCCTGACACCCATCTAGTCATTAGTCAGAGGACCATCTAGAAGAGCAGCCTGGGAGTGTGGAGGTAAGACCTGACCAAGGCTCTGGGAGTCTGTTCTATGAACCTGAGACCTCTGGACCATTCTGGGTATCCGGTTTCATGGTCTGTAAAGTGGGGTAGGGAGCACTCAGTGTAGTGCTATACCCTGCAAATACATTATTTCATATAGTCCTAAGAGTCCCTTGAGTCTATTCTACTCTTACAAATGGGAAAACTGAGACACCAAAAGGTTAGTTTGTCAAAGGTCAAAGGGCTTAGTCAGTGATATGACCACGGTTTGAGGGCAAAGTCCAGTCTATTACCAACACTCAGTTCTAACCCCTACAGAAGAGCTGCCTGGCTAAGATCAAGTGACCAGGCCAGGCCTAAAAGCCCTTCCTGCTCAGTCCTAAGATTCTGAAGGTTGACAAGTCTCTGAAGTCTTGTAAAAGGGTTCACTTTTCACATTCTTGAAGGCAATTCAAAAGCTTCCTCAAAGTAGAAAGGAACAGCCATGGGGATTTCGGTTAGAAGTCAGGGGGACTTCCTAATCATCAGTCACTGGAAAAAATGACGCTGGTGACGCTTGGGAGGGGGGGTTACTCGGGGGACACAGGAGAGGCCAGGACCACAGGACAGAAATTAGCAAAGAAGCAACTCCTGCTTTTCCACTCTCCATGGACCCCCCTGCGCCCATCTCAGGGTGGGCTCCTAACTTCAATAAAGGTCGGTCGAGGGGAAAGAGATCGGAAAGTCAGGCTTTCCCGGGGGTTCTCTCTTCGGGTGTGAGTGGCGCGCGTGTCTGGGGACTTGTGTCCGTTTGGGATGCATACTCGGATGGCAGTCTGTGCGAGTCTCCCCAGCTTTAGCTCTGTCGCGGACGGCCTGACGCAGTCTCTGCGGCCTCTCTTTGTCCCTCTCCATCTGCGCGTCTCTCGGGCTGGCTGCAGTCTCCGGCTCTCGCCCTCCCGCGCCGCCCGCGCCCGCCCGCACCACTCCTGTCTCGCCTCCTCCCCCGCGGCCCCGCCCGCCCTCGTGCTCTCGCTCGCGCGCACTCTCTCTCTCTTTCGCTGTCTTTCGCCGGCAGATTTATGGTCAGCCTAGAGACTCTTATTGGCCAAGCGCTGACAGGACTTGATTTAACGCCGCCTCTCATTGGCTGAGCTTGACAGGCCGATTTACGAGTCGCGTTGCCATTGGCCCAGCGGCCTCGGCCCTGATTTACGGCTCGTTGGGCACCGGGAGGGGCGCCGCTGGGAGCGAGGCTGCACTCCCCTCCCTCGCGTGCCCGCGACGCCGCGCGCTCCCGCCGCGCCCCACGGGCACGCGCAAGGGGCCTGTTGGCGGCGGGACCCTGGGCAAAGCCGAGTTCGCGGGAAGAAGCGGGCGGCCGGGGTGGCGAGCGGGATGGGCACCGGGGCCAGGGAACCCACACCCTGCCGTACTGTCCAGACGCATCCTCTGCACACGATGGCTGGGAAAGGTCAGCTCTGAGGAGCGACAGGCGGGAGAGGCGAGGAAGGCCGAGGGCGCAGGAGCGGAGCGGGGTCAGATTCGGATTCGGCGCGGGGACCCCCGGCCACAGCCTGGGCGCCTCCCGCCCGCGCCCCGCGCGCCTCCGGTGCTCAGTTCCCCAATTAGATTTACGAGCTCAGGCTTTCGGCCTTCAGGAATTAGGAATATTTATGCTTCTTTGAGAGTGAGGTTTGGAGGGTGATAAATAAGGGGCCACTCGGGTGCCGTGCGGTGGGGGCTCCTATTTTTTGGTCACCGTCACTTTTCCAAGGCCCCCACCCAGCGGCTCCCTCTCTACTCAAGTTAGAGGGAGCCCCAGGGCGCTGGGCAGTGGGCTTCAAATGTCTGGAAGAGAGTAGAAATTGCAGGGCCTTGCAACCCCCTTCCGAGACCTGCAGAGCCTTGCAGCAGAAGGGATTGAAGACAGATGGGGAGGAACTTTGGAAGCATCTGAGCATCCTGGCGTTCTTGGAGACTCTGGAGAGCAGTTACAGCGTTTCTTCAGAGAACAGGGAAAAGCCTGCTTCTCCTGAGCCTCTAAGCTCAGTTACTGAGGAACGAATGAAGGAGAGGAGCCTAGAGACTCAGAGGTTTCTTTGGCCTGTCACCTCCCTCACAGGGAAGGGATGTAAAGTCTCCCACTGAGCCCACCACAGCCTGGATCCCTGGGAAAGGAGGCTAGGAATGTGGGGCCCAGCATCTCCTAGGAGCCCCTAGCCTCAACCTGTCCACCTCCACTGCTGGCTGAGAATTAAAAACACCCCTTGCCCTGGGCCTCCAGGAAACCAGGGAGGGAAGAAGGATCTGCTTAGGACATGTCTCCTCCAGTTCTCAGCCCCCAGAGCCTTGACTCTGACCCCTGGCCAGCAACGTGTGCTTGCTCTAGGCTTGAGTCAGTAGCACAAAGATGGGGGTCATCATATGAGGGAGGTCTACGAGAACTGGGGATGAGTCACCTTGTACCCACCATGATGTTGGCTTCAGCAAGGATGGCCACAGCGCAAATGCACACAGGCACCAGCTTGCTGCCTAGAGGGTGGAGAGAGAACGGTCTAGACTGGCCCTTTAAGAGCCACTTAGGGTCAGAAAGCCTGGGCTACAGAGAGGAGAAGGAGCTGATGTCAGAAGACGGATGGGCAGCAAGATGGGGATTGATGGTAATGGGGGAGTTAAAGCTGAGTACCCAGACACTCAGAGGGCAGGACTGCAGATCTGTCTTCCTTATGCTACCCCGCCCCCATCAAGGCTGTAAATCTGCCTCCTCAATTGGGGGAAGGGGAGTAAGGAAAAAGAGAGGCTCTTTTCTCTCTTTTCATGCACCCCCCAATTCTTTTGTTTTCTCCCAATTCATGACCCTTCCTGGTAAAATTTCCAACCTCTGGCCTTTCATCAGAAATTTGAGACAATGATTGATTGTAGCTTGCTGAGGAGTCAGAGGAGACCCCAAGTTTTCCTTGCCAGCCCTGGCAGGGAATGTATTGATGGGACTGAGGGGGGACGGTAGACTGGAAGCTTCCGGTGGCCACACTTGGAATCCAGTCTGGCAGTCCTTCTCCCAGGACAGTAGGGCAAGACAGGAAGCAGGGTGTTGGGTACCAGGGGCACTGAGATTCGGGGTGGGGGGTTGTTCCTCTAGGAGCTGCAGGTTCCACCTACAGATATGCAGTATGGTTTCTCTGAACCCCTATATCAAACTGTCCTCTACTCCATCGCATGCCTTGTCTGCTGAGTGACACTCAGGCCAACTGAGCTTGCTGTAAAGGTGGGCTCTGCTGCTCCCTGAGTGGACATCTCAGGGAGGAAGGCCACTTCAGAGGAGTAGGAGCTAGGAACTCCTAGCCAGTTACACGTCTTCATTTTCAGGCAGAACCCTCCTCCCATCTTTCAGGACCCTTACTTCCCTCTCTGCTGGCAATCAGGCACCTTGTGAGGTCTCTGTCTATATTAGATGGCAGTCCTCTGTACCATATCTGGCAGTCATCCTTGAATTCTTTCCTAGTCCCAGACAATGACCATGCTTGGTTGCCTTCAGTTTCCAAATCTTAGTATCCATAAGAGAATGACACTGTGACATGGTCTCATCTGTTCCTTTCTAGAGTTTTCCTTCAGAGGCCAAACACTGCCTGAGGAGCACCTTCTCTATTTTCAGTCTTCAGAGACAAGGGAGAGAGCAAGACTGGGTATAAGAACATTGGGAGTTGTGGCAGAAACCGGGAGAACCCAGCCTTCCATTCCAGCCTTCCAGTCTCTGCATCCGGCCTGGTGTCCCCTCCCATCCCAAGGAGGTCAGCCTTTGCCCTTAGCCCTGCTCTCTTGCTGCTTCTCTATACTGGTGATAAATCCTGTCTTTGTCTCCCCTCTGACCCAGGCCCCAGGCAGGCTGAGGGTCAGAGTCTGGGGGAGGGGTTACTGTAGAGGAGGGGGATAGACAAGAAGAGTAGGAGGAGAAGATGGACAGGAGCAGCTGGTGGGCAGTCATGGGGGTGGGCAGTGTGGGGATGGGGCCTCTTGATTATTCTATGGATACAGAACATTCCAGCAGGCCTGCATTCCAAGTGAGAAAGCCAGGTCCCTGAGAAGATGAGGATGTCCCTTCAGAATGGGCTCTGGAGCATCAAGAATACTAGGCCATCGGGGGCGGATGTGAGCTGCTAAAAGAAACAGGGGAATAATATTGTGGGCATCATCCCTTTCGGCACCTCAGAACTCCACGTATGTGTGCCGTGTGCCGTGTACACACACACACACACACACACACACACACACACACACACACACGCAGATTTATGACCTGTCAGCATGAGGGAGCCCAGGAGAGCCAGCCTGCCCCTCGCCTGGCCCCTCCCAGGCGGGCAGGCAGGCAGCCTTCTAGTACTGGCTTCCTGTCCAGCCTCATTCTTTTCCTCTGTTCCAGCCCTGCTTGTTCCTTTGTTGCTTCTCTCCAGCTTGTCACACTCTCTGCTCTCAGCCTCTGCACCATCATTGCTCTTCCTCCTCGTGCCCCTCCTTCCCTCCTTCCTTGGACTCTCCATGTGTCCAGCTGCTGCCACTCTAACCCTACCTCAGTCCCACCAGGAACCCTGCTCTGACCCAGCAGAGACCTTTGCAAGGGGAGATGGGAGGGGTTCTATGTGAGTCCCTGCTTTGCTGGGATCCTAGTGGGCTCTGCTGTGGCAAGGAAGCCAAGGAAGGGGCACTCCGGAGGTGAGCAGAGAGAGAAGGGCTGCTAAGGGAGAAGAGTTGAAAGGAGGGACCCGGGGAGAGGACACAGAAGGCAAACACCAAAGAGAAGTGCAAGGGCTTAGTTTCTGAGTATTTGAGGTTCTTCTGAAGGGGCATCTGTGGGGTTACATGACACACAGCTCCAGAGACAAGGCCTGGAGACCCAGCTAGAGATGTGAAACTGTGATGTCTACAGTGCAGCCCAATGGTGGACTCTGACCTACCTAGGAATTTCTGTGGCCCCTGCCCTCAGCAGCCAGTCCTAGAATGCTGGTCCCCAACCCAGCCTCCTTCACAACCACCTCCCATCCTCCCCTGGTGGGAATGACATCAGCTCTGGCTGCCACTGTACTCAGCCTGGCTGCTGATTTCTCTCCCAGGGGTGCTGCAGGGGTCAGTCACCCCTCCCACAGCCCTTCCTTCTCCAGTCTGGGAGGAAGCTGGGGCTCACCCAGCCCTGGGCCCTGAAGTCAGTGAAAGGAGGCTGCCCAGGCTCTGTGGGAAGAGAGGGGGCATGGGTGGTGGTGGGGGGGCAGAAGGGGAACCTGAGGAAGAGACTGCAGCAATAAATCACTCTGTGGGGGGCTCTCTCTGCCTGAGCTCAGTGGGGTGGGGAAAGAAGAGACAGTGGGGTGGGGGTGGGAGGGTAAGGGGAATCGCCACATCTGGCAGGCAGGTGTCTGGCACTGTTCAGGCTGTAGTCTCTTTCCCAGCCAAAGGAGAAGGGGGAAAAGGGAGGAGGGGCCTCCTGGACCCCAGGGACGGAAAGGCTCACTAATAGACGACGGGGCCTAAACACACAGAACAAGGCCATGGGAGGGAGTGCATCAGACTCTGTTCTGTCTTTGCCTCACTTAACTAAGGATGGGTTTCCTAAGTCCGAAAATAGCTAACCAGGGGACCTGGTAGGCCAGGGCACTGTTTCCATCCTAGTGGGAAACAGAAGGCAGGAGAAGCAAGCTCAGAGGATTTGGGGTTTGAGAATTGGATAGAACATTGAGCCAGTTGTGGTGGCACATGCCTTTAATCCCAGCATTCAGGAGGCAGAGGCAGGCGGATCTTTGAGTTCGAGGCCAGCCTAGTTATTCTACAAAATTCTGTAGCCTTTCTATATATCAATAACAAGCAAATACAGAAAGAAAACATGGAAGCACTCCCCGTCACAATAGAAAAAAAAAAAAAAAAAAAAAAAATTCTCGATTCCGGAAGGACCAAGCTGGGCTGTGAGAAGCAGGTTAGGGGCTAAGGTTGGGCACCGCTTAGCTTAGCCAGAGGGCATTCCTCCAGCTCCAAAGCAGGTCCGGTGCATCTTTTTCTATCTGCTAAGCCAGATCCTAGGCCCAGGTGCCTAGCAGCGGCGAGCCTTCCAGGTCTCCACAGACTGGCTGGCAGCACTGTCCGGCCCTGGCCCTGCCTGCCTCTGCAGAGGCTTTCCCATCCCTCCAGTCTTTCCCTCATCCTGGCCCAATTTGGATTTGCAAGGCCCATGTTGTGAGCAGTAGAGGTGACTGAGACCCTTCAAATTGCAGTGAAGAGTCCCCATACTCCCCCCTCCTTAAACAACTGCAGAGGAAGGGGGAAAGAAAACCAAAGCATTCTCTTGTCGCCGCAGCAACCATAAAACCCCCAGCTAAATCCATCTTGTGAGCTCACCGCCCCATTAAGATGCAGGGCCAGGCTCTGAGCCAGCCCAGCCACATTCATTTGTGCGAATAAAGGTGGAAGAGGGGGAGGGGAGCAGGCTCTGGAGGGACGGGGAAATGGCGAGAAGAGGTTATTTACACCACCGTCCTGACCTTCTGGAGCAGCACTGGCTCCGATAAATAACCCGCTCAGCGCCGTTTCAGAGCAGGAGTGGGAGGTGCAGGAAGGGAGCCGGGGCTGGAGGAGAGCCCCCACGCAGGTGCGCGTCTCTGGGTTACTAATGGCCGAGGCGGGAGCAGGCAGCTGGCTTTGGGGGTGTGTGAGGGAGAACTCAGTTCCCTGAGACTCCCACTGAGAAAATACCATCCCCACCCCACCCCTGGCGCCAATTTCCAGGCGAGGGGACGGAGAGATGCCAAGGAGGGAAAGAGTCCCGTAAATTAGGAGGTGGGGGGGACTGCTGGGGAGTCTCTGAGGTAGGAGGGAAGAAAGATTATAAGATGAAGTTGGGGGGGGGGGCTGGAAGAACAGGAATAGCAGCCAAAAAAGGGAGGCACAGAACCATCACACAAAGGCAGTTTGGAAGATTCGCTTTATTCCTCTGGTGCAGAGCTGTACAAGGTGGATGGTGTCTCCTGACTCCATCTCTTGCACAGGGGCCGTCTCAATTCTGCTCCCATCAGCCAATGCACGGGGCAGAATGCTTGTCTTAGCTAGGTTTTCATAAGACGTTTTCATAGGGAGGGAGTGTGGGGTCAAGGGGAAACATTAGAGCCAGAGTGGGGCTTCCATCCTGTCTTTCTGGGGAATCCAAACCTCAGCGGAAAGGCATTGACTGAGCCAAGGACTAGGCCCAGACTCTCAGCTTCTATGGAAGGCTGAGGCAGAGAGGGAGAGCTGGAAGGCAGAGTGCAGACCCAAGAAAAAGGACTGGGACTGAATACCTCAAGGCCCCAGGCATTAAGGCCCCTTCCTTTCTCCATTCTGAGCAGAAACTCTTCTGGAGACTAGAAAGTAGTTTTAGTTCCAAGGACTGGTTTTGCTCCAGGGCACTAGGAATAGGAGGACAGAGCAGACATCGATCTCAGGGTGACACAGGTAGAGAGGCATGGTACAGAGCCAGAGTGGGATCCTCCCAGGACCACTTGTGGGCCACAGTAGCCTGGGTGCTGATGGCCAGCAACAGGATAGAAAATGTATTTCAAGAGTCCTGTCCAAGAGCATTTATATCTCTTCCCACCACCCTGTCCCCTCCCAGGAAGCTGTTCGAAATCTGTCCAAGGTGGAGGACAGGGCAGCAGGAAGGAAGAGAAGCCGCTGAGGTGAATCCTCGGCCCCTGCATTCCACCCCTACTTGTGCTGCAGGAAGAGCCCTCCTCCTTTGCTGTACATATGGGCTGGTGGGATGAAGGCTGGTTAAGGCAAAGGGAGGAAAACACTCAGCACATTCTTCTGCTTTGATCTGAAGTGCAGCCACAGCAAAGGGCCAAGGAGCTCGGGAGAGAATGTGGGGGTGGAGGGGCCAGGAAGCCTGTGCTTCCCCTGCCTCATTCAAATCTGCTGGGTACTTTACTCCCAGAAAAAGGAAGGAAGGGGGACAACCCCAGAGAGGAAGGAGATGCAAGGGTCCCCTGTGATTCTCCAAGATGACCCTGAGAGCATCAATTAGGGGCCTGGATGAGAAGCCACAGCAGTGGGGGTTTTGAGGGGTGAGGAGCTGGGCATAGACCGTCTTCATCGAAGGAGTGACCACTTGATCTGTTCTTTGGCTGACTGCAGCACCTACAGAGACAAAGGAAGGCAGCACTGAGGGAGGCTAGCTGGGCCAGGGTGCAAGCAGGCCAGGGCTCTCCTTCCCCCCACTTGCCTTCCCTCTCCTTAGAATAGGGAATAGAAAATCCCGAGGGTGGAAGAATAGAAGCCCGCTAAGGCCCTAGAGGACTGTCAGTTTGGAAAACTCCCCCCAAATTCAAATCCACTGGGGGGATGAAGAGAGAAGAGGTATACCTGGGAGGAAAGAAAAAAAAAACTGGGGGTTACTGGATACATGTTATACAGACCTTCCCCCCACTTGCCTTCCCTCTCCTTAGAATAGGGAATAGAAAATCCCGAGGGTGGAAGAATAGAAGCCCGCTAAGGCCCTAGAGGACTGTCAGTTTGGAAAACTCCCCCCAAATTCAAATCCACTGGGGGGATGAAGAGAGAAGAGGTATACCTGGGAGGAAAGAAAAAAAAAAACTGGGGGTTACTGGATACATGTTATACAGACGGGGTTACACACCCAGATGGACTCTTTGGTGAGGATTTTTAGTATGCAAAACCAAAACCCCTCCCTTGCTGTCCCCCACCTCGCCAGGTAGACAGTCTATCTGCAGTCAAGGTAGCAGGATGGATCTGCAAAGCCTGCATATTGTAGAATATACATTTCCAGCTCAGCCCTCATTTGAATAATAAGAGGAGAGTGTGCTCACAGGCACACAGACCATCTGCTTAAGGAAGCCTCCGCTGGGGAATAAATCACTGACTGAGGCAGCAGGCAGGGAGGGTTTGAAGGGTATAGAGTAAGGCTGACAGCCACTGCTCAGAGAAAGGGAAAGGACTGGGGGCACTGGGCTGAGCGAGTTCCAATCCCTGGAATAAGGGGAGCCAAGGTAGATGACTGAGTGTGAGAGCTCATTCAGATTTGGTGGGTTCAGAGTTTCTGTTAAGCTAGCCTTAGTGACCCCATCCACCAGAGAAGAAGGGAGAGCATCATACCTGAGACACAGTCTGCTCTGTAAGGGGGACGTCTTCACCCTGTGCATAAAGACAAGCATTTAGACTGGAGTCTGGTAGAGGAAGAGGTGGTCCCTTAAACTGAAGGTAGGGCCAGATGCCCTAAACTTCTCAGTCCCTTTCACAAAGACTGAGCTACAATTTTACCTTGGCCAGAGGGACTATGAGCACAAAAGGGTCATTTCATCCACCCTCTTAAGGCAGGATAACTTCTTAAAAGATTTATTTCATTCCAAGTAATCAGAGGATATCTGATCCTCAACTCGGGGGGTGGGGGCCCGATTCCCTAGTCAGAGAAGACCTTCCCTGAATATCAATATCACCGGGGAAAGGATGAAGGGAGCCAGGGGTAGTTTAATGGATCCCGCAAGGCCTGATGGGTAACGACAGCATGTTAATTTGAAGAAATAAACTGCTGCAACAGCAGCCTGAGAAGGGGAAGGGGGGAGCTAGTGGGAGGGGAGGAACCCTCTCTCTTGCCACATAGAGACATATGTTAGAGGAGAAGATTAAACTATGCAAATGGAGCCCACGGCAGTTAAGGGAGAAGATTTCCCATTACCCGGCACTGGCAGCCTTCACTCTGTGGAGGTCAGAGCTGGGACATTCTGGGAATGGGAGAGCTGCTTTGCTTAGGCATCTCTGCAGTGGTCTCTCTGTACCTAGCATCATCACCCCAGCAGACTCAGAGATTCCTGATGTTAACTCAGATGCCCCTTTCTGGTACCACTAGCACCAAAAAGGACAGAGGTACTGGCAAGGTAAGTACCTCCTGAGGGTTACGCAAGGCGGACAGGAAAGGCGGTCCTCTGCCTCATATGACTGGATCCATCCTCAAAGAGGGGTAAGCCAAGTTCAAGGTCCTTTATAGTTTTAGAACCATGAATATTAAAATTTTCATTCACTTCATTATTCATTTAATATGTTTACATTAAGTGTCCACTTTGCAAACACTATATGAGATGTTAGGCACCACACTAGAAAGGAAAAAAAGAGTTCCTTTGTCCCTCTTCTTTGGAACACTGAGATGGAAAGGAGAGAAGGTTCTATGCATGTGAGTACAAGAAAAAGGTAGAGTGTATTTATGAGCATGACCCTCAGACACACTCAGCAGGCCTGGCTCTGGAGGACCTGTGGATAGATGAAGGACGCACATCCCCACTTACCCTTAAAGCCACACGGTGCACCACTTGCTGGGGATCGCTCTCTAGGATCACCCTAGAAACACAAAAAAGACCATTGCTTACTCTGTCCCGAAGGACCAACCTACTGTGGGGACAGGCTCTCTGGCTAGTCAGCCCCCTTGATGGACAGCCACCTCCTGTCCCCATTCTAGATCTAGGTAGGCAGAGAACTCACCCTCCATCTACGATTTCATCCACTGCCAAGAAGAGCCCCTCCATGTTCTCCAGCAGAGCTCGCTTCTCTACGTTTTTCCTGAGTCCCCAAAAGAAGAGAAAAACCAACCTGTGTGTGACAAGGTCTGAACAGGGGATCCCAAACTAGACCAATCCATGTCTCTACTACCCACACCAAAAAGGGAGCTTGGTGAAGGCCTTTCAGCCATGCTGCTCTCAACCTCATCCCATCCTCATTTGCTGAACAGGGATCAGGATGTCAGGAAAGAGATTCAAAACTGCCAACTTCTGACTCCAGGCTGGTAATATCAAGCTGCTGTTTCTCCCCTGCCTGCCTTGATGCTGTGTATGATGCTACTCATATGCAGATACCAGAAGGTAGAAAAAAATAAGTAGAATTCAAACTCAATCTGGAGTTGCAGTGGCAGGAGGTGCCAAGTTTGAGTGTATCCACATTCAAACTCTGAGAAACTTCCAAATTCTGCCCTCCCTCTCCAGCTCCGCTTGGGCCCTAAAACAAAGCCCAACCAGGGACTAAGAACAGTCTAGCAGAGGCAATGGTTGGTGCGTGTGGCCTGTCACATCCGTCAGTACAACCCTTTCTCCAGATTACCTGAAATGAAGTCTATTCATTCACCTGGCTGGTAAATAAATCACCCCCTTCCTGGGGAAACCTGAGCCCTGGGCCTCCTGGTCTGTGGGCTATGAGCGCCTGCTGTGCTACTCCGGATGGCTGTCTGAACTGCCTTTACTTAGGAGCTGCTGTGGGGGTGAACTTCAGAGACTTGAATGTTTTCAGAAAAGTATCAAATATCTCTTCTCTTGCTTGTACACATGGGAACAGAAGGCTAGTGGGGAGGTAAAGAGAGCAAAAGGCACAGTCCTGTTCTATACACAAGGCAAGACTAAGAGCCGAGGTAGAAAGCTCGCAGTGTTGCCTCTATTCTCAAGGCAGGGATGGCTTACCTGGGACCCCTCCCTACTTCAAATGCAGAGGATGAAGCCCAAAAAGCACATTGGGTGGGGGGTGGCTCAAAACACTGAAAGAGTCATTAGATATTACAAGAGCAAACACAGGGCCAGCATGGTTATGCATGCCTTTAGTCCCAGCATTCGGGAGGCAGAGGCAGATGGACCTCTGTGAGATCAAGGCCAACCTGGTCTACATAGCGAGTGCTAGGCCAACTGGGGCTGCAGGGAGACCCTGTCTGAAAAAGACCAAAACACACCAAGAGCAAATACAGAGCTGGGCACCATGGTGCACGCCTATAATCCCAGCTATTCTGGAGGTTGAGGCAGGGGGGCTGCCTGGATTACAGTAGAGTGAGTTTTAGGCCAGCCTGGGAAACTTGGTAAGACCTTGTTTCAGAATAAAAAACAAAAGGATTGGGTTAGTAGCTCAGTGCAGAACAGTTGCCTAGCCTTGGTTTGGTTTCAATCACCAGTACTGCCAAAGAAAAGAGAAAGTCAGGAGAGAGGAACAGAAGTCTACTCTTTATTCTTCCTCTTCCTCTGTCAGGGACTCTGCTTTTTTTTTTTTGGTCTTTTTGAGACAGGGTCTCCCTGTAGCCCCAGCTGTCCTCTGTCCTGGAACTCACTATGTAGACCAGGCTGGCCTTGAACTCACAGAGATCCGTCTGCCTCTGCCTCCCAAGTGCTGGGATTAAAGGCATGGGCCACCACGCCCAGCGGGACTCTGCTTCTTTAGTAAGGGAATTATTATTCTATGGGAGGGCCATGTTCTCTACCTAGTCCTCCTCAGTGTGAATTACCCCCAAATACCAACTCTCATACTAAACTAATTCCGTAGTGGGCACCTCTGTATATCCCTCACAAATCCCTGAGCCTGAGGAATAGGCACTTTCTTTTCCAAATCAACATCAAGAATAGCTGCTCACCTCAGCATCTGGCTCAGAGAGTCGAAGAGGCAGTTCAGAACAGCCATAAGCATCAGCTGTTGGAAGACAAGAGGCAGAAGGCTCAAGGCCTTGAAACTGCTACCCCAAAGCAAAGCCCTCCATTCATTACACATCTAAAAACACAGACTTTCACAAAGGACCAGAAGCATAAGATGAAGTGAGAACTTTGTTGACCTCGTCCTCTGTATTTGAGTCCTCTGTGTACCTTTTTATTATTTTTATTAGTAAAGACTTATTTTAGGGGCTGGAGAGATGGCTCAGTGGTTAAAAACACTGGCTGCTCCTGCAGAAGACCCGGGTTTGATTCCCAGCACCCACATGCTGGCTAACAACCGTCTGTAACTCCAGTTCCAGGGGATCTGAGGCCCTCTTCTGACCTCCATGGGCATTGCACAACATGGGTGCACCCACCTACATGCAGGCATTACACTCATACACATAAAAATATTTAAACAGGGGCTGGACAGGTAGCTCAGCAGTTAAAAGCACTGACTGCTCTTGCAGAAGACCCAGGTTTGATTCCCAGCACCCACACGGCAGCTACGATCCATCCTTAACTCCAGTTCCAGGGGAATCAAGGATTGAACCCCAAACCTCGTGCTACTGGGCAAGCACTTTACCAACTGAGCTACACTTTCAGCCCTCTTTATTTTGAGGCAGGGTTTCAGTAAGTTGCTTACTTTGAACTCACTTTGTAACCCAGTTAGGCCTTTGATTGCTGAACTTGCGATTCTCTACCTCAGCCTCCCAAGTAGATAGGATTAGAGGCCTGTGCTAACAGGCCTAACTTCTTTTATTTTACAGGACCTTGAAGTATAGTCCATACTGGCCTCAGTGTCCCAAGTCTGGGATTACAGTGAAGCACCACCACACCATGCTTTGCTTTTTGCCAGTGTTAAATACCACCAACACTATTTAAATTTTTAAAATCTACCTTAAATGACTTTTAGATTTTCTTCAGTAATAATAGCCACAAAATTGGGATATAATGGTTATAGTTTCCACAAGAGATTAGGTGAATATATAACCATTAAAACTCTTTCTCTGTGCTCTGCCAGTGGTAAGAACACCAAACAACTTAGAGCACTGGCTTGGTATGTTGACAGTGCAAGCCCAGCCTGGAAGCTGGGTTTGTTCCTGTTGCTAAATGTCCATGAGGAATGTGCTGTGACCAGGTGAATGGTGGGGCTTCTGCTGGAACATCAGTGGCTGAGAAGAGATCTGTGTGTGGGCAGTTTGTCTTTTCTTTCAGAAACTTAATAGCAATGTGAACATTTTTATAGGAAATGAACATAGTAAGATATGCTACAGAATAAGAATTTTAGGAGTGTACTCTTTTAAGACCACATTAAGTGCTTACTGCCTTCTTTTCTTTCCATTATTGTTGTTTTCTTTTGTTTTGTTTGTTGTGTTTTAAGATAACGTTTCACTCTGTATCTAGGCTACCCTCAAACTGGTAGTCCTCCTGCCTTAGCCTCTCAGGTGCTGGGATTACAGGTGTGAGCCCCCACACCCAGCTTTTTTTTTTTCCTTGAATAGAAATTAGTCATAGTTAGCCAAGTCATTTCTCTTTTGCTTCCTAGAAAATTTTGTATATTTTATTTATAGGCGGGCATGGTAGCGCATGCCTTTAGTTCCAGCAGAGGCAGAGGCAGAGGCAGGCATATCTCTGTGAGTTCAAGGCCACCCTGATCTATATAGTGAGTTCCAGGCCAACTGGGGGCTACAGGGAGACCCTGTCTCAAAAAGACTAAAAATAACTTTTTTTAATTGTTATTTTTATTTTATGTGTGTGAGTGTATTGCTTGCATGCATGTAAATGCACCCATGTCATGCAATGCCCATAGAGGTCAGAAGATGGCGTCAGATCCCCTGGAACTGGAGTTACGAACTGTTGTTAGCCACCGTGTTGGTGCTGGGAACTGAACCCAGGTCCTCTGTAAGAGCAGGCAGTGCTCTTAACCACTGATCCATCTCTCCAGTCCCTCCTAGAAAAAAAAGAAAAGAAAATAAAAAACTTTTCTAAAGTACTTCTCCCCACATCTTCTTAACAAAAGATTTATTAAAATATTTTATTTATTATGTGTATGAGTGTATGCGTGTAAGTGCACCCATGTTGTACATTGCCCTTGGAGATCAAAAGAGGGTGTTGGATTCCCCTGGAACTGAAATTACAGGCAGTTGTTAGCCACCATGTGGGTGCTGGGAATTGAACCCAGATCTTTGCAAGTGTGCTTAACAACTGAGCCATCTCTCCAGGCCCCTCACAAAACATTCACTTAATGATTTTAACCTTTAAAATGTGTATAAAACCCTGCTGCCTTTTCTGATTTTCCCTTAGCTACTTAGTACCTGGGAAGATAATAACTAAATACGGGGACATAGTTAAAATTTTACCTAGACAGTTGTGATAACACATACCTATAAGCCCATCATTTGGAAGATAGGAAGGTTTCCACAAATTCAAGGCCAGCCTGAGCTATATATCAAGACCCTGTCTCAAAAAATTGAAAAAAAAATTATTGAGAATTTCATACCAGCATATGAGCACTCAAAAAAATTTTAACCTAGGATCTGGAGAGGTGGCTCAACTTTTAAGAACACTGATTGTTCTTGCAGAGGACCCAAGTTCGAGTCCCAGCACCCACATGGTGGCTAACATCCATAACTACAGTTCCAGGGGATCCAACGCCCTCTTTTGACTTCCTCTGGCACTGAATGGCATGCATGCCCTTACACATATGCAGACAATACACTCGTACACATAAAATAAAAATAATAAAATATTTTTTAAAAATATTTTAAACAAAGATTTATTTTAATTTTTGAGTATATGTGTTTGTCTATGTGTGTGTGTGTATGTGCACACAAGTGTACAGGTGCTTACAGAAGCCAGACAGGGCATTGGGTCCCCTGGAGCTGGAGTTACAGATGGTTGCAAGCCTCCTGACATGGGCTCTGAGAACCAAACTCAAGTTCTCTGAAAAAAGCAGTAAGACTCCTAACCGCTAAGCCATTTTTCCAGCTCCTGTTTTGGCTTTTTGAGGCAGTGTCTCATAGTCCAGGTTGGCTTTGAATTAGCTCTATGGCTCAGGATGACTTTGAATTCCTGATTGTCCTGCCTACACTTCTCAGGTGCTGGGATTGTAGGGGTAAACCACTCTCCTCTATGTCTTCACCAAGCATTTATGAGTTAGCTGATGACTTAGGTAAAGAGAGATATCATAACCAAGCAACAGCTGAGACCAGAGGAAGGCGGCACGGCTAGTGGAAAGAACATGGGCTTTAAAAAAAAAAAAAGATTTTTAAAAAAATCAGGTGTGTTCCTATGTGTGTGAGCATGTGTGTACAGATGAGAGTACACAAGTGCAGGTGCCTAAGGGGGCCAGAGGCATCAGTTCCCCTTGGATTTGGCAGTTACAAATGATTGTGAGCCACCCCATGTGGGTGCTGGGAATCAAACTTGAGTCCTTTGAAAGAGCAGCACACCCTTAACGTCTGAGCCATCTCTCCAGTCCCCTACTACCCCTTTCCTACGGTACCAGAGAGTGAACCCAGGGCTTTGACCATGTTAAGCACACACTCCACCACTGAGCTATGTCCCCAGCCCTAGCATGAGCTCTGAGTCACACAGAACTGGCTTGAATCTCAGCTGAGCCATTTTCTCCATGTCTGACCTGAGGGAGTGAGTGAGCTGAATCACAGGAAACTGCCCCTCTTGTCATTAAAAAAAGTCGAATACAAGTAATTTCATACGGTTCTTCCTGGTTTGGTTTTCTCATTGGCCAAACAGGTGTTAATGCCTCCAACTCACAGAAGTGCTGCCAAGTTTAAAGAATGTACTTCACAGAACACTCATGGCAATGACAGCTCAGCAGGACCTGGGCCTCTCAAACTCTTAACTATGGCGAAAACTATCTGGTGGCATATTTTATCTCCTCTCAGAGAAGTTGCTACTACTTGAGGTAAATAGTTTCCTGCATACAGGAGGGTAAGGAGTACACCCACAGCTCCTCTTATAGAAAACTCATCAGGTACAAGTCAACTTCCCCCACAACCTTGACCATACCTCAGAAACCACCCTTAAAGCCCACTCTGCAAGCCAGGCATGGTAGCACACACCTATAATCTCAGCACTAGGGAAGCGAAGACAGGAGGATTGCTGTGGATTCAAGGCCAGCCTGGGTTAACCCAATCACAAAATAAAAAAGTAACTTCCCACTGTGCAGGTAAGGGTATTAGAAATACATATTCTAGGGCTAGAGAAGTGGCTCAGTGGCTGTTCTTGCAGAAGACCCGAGTTCAAATCCCAGCACCCATATGGCAGCTAACAACTGCCGGTAACTCCAGTTCCAAGGGATCTGACGGCCTCTTCTGTCCTCCTCAGGCATTGCACAACACAGGCGCAATTACCTACCCACAGGCAATACACGCATACACATAAAATAAAAATAGGTAAAATATTTTAAAAGGGAAAAAAATATA